GGGAAACAAATTTCCTCAACTAAAAAGCAAATCCCAAACTGAAACACGTGACAGAAACCGATTTCCTCAAACCGAGGAACTGATATCTTCTTTGAAACTTCCAAATTCTAGTTTCCAGATAAGCTATTTTGCACGAAACGATCATAGAAGCTTCCAGAATGTGTTTGAATTAATCTAAACTTCCAAAATACCACCTTAATTCAAATGATAAACATTCTCCATGCCTAAACTCCTCACAAGCTTCTTGAACATATCATTTGTCACACCTTTCATCAACAAATCTGCAAGTTGTTCTTCGTTTCGACAGTATCCTAACTTCATATGGCCTAAATACACCAGTTCCCTCAAGTAATGAAAACACATCTCTATATGTTTTCTCCTCCCATGTGCTATGGTATTCCTTGCAAGATTAATGGCTGAAATATTATTAACCAAGAGCGTAATAACTTTTTCTGCACTGCTACCCAGCTCCTTCAGCAGATTCACAAGCCACACAGCCTGACATGCACACATCGATGCAACAATATACTTGGCCTCATAGGAAGAAAGTGAAACCACAAGTTCCTTTTTAAAGCACCAAGAGATTTGAGCTCCATTGAATATAAATACATAACCAGCCGTAGACTTTCGATCATCCTTATCTCCGCACCAATTGAAATTCGTGTAACTGAGTAACTCACAATTTCTGCTTGTATCAGCTACGGGAAAGAGAATTTCACAGCCAAGAGTTCCTTTGATGTATCTTATGATCCTCTTAACTACTTCCAAATGAGAAACCTTTGGTTTCTCCATGAATCTACTTGTAATACCGACACTAAACATCAAACTTGGCCGCGTATTGCACAAGTAACATAATGATCCAATCAATCTCCTATATTGTGTTGGATCCACTCCTTGCTCATCTTCACTTTTGGACATCTGCAACCTTGCTTCAGCCGGTGTTATGGAAACATTACAATGCTCCATACTTTTTCAAATTATCAAGAGCATACTTTCTTTGATGCATAAGCAACCCCATTTTTGACTTATGGAACTCTATGCCAAGAAAGTAAGTCATGATTCCAAGGTCACTCATTTCAAACTCTTCCATAAGCTCACTCTTGAACTTAGAAATATTCACTTCATTGTTTCCTGTAATAAATAAGTCATCCACATATAAGCAAACTATAATCACTTCTTTACTTGCATCCGTCTTCACATAAACACCATGTTCGGATACACACTTCTTAAAGCTAACCTCAACTAGAAAAGCATCTATGCATTTGTTCCAAGCTCTAGGTGCTTGTTTCAAACCATGGAGTGTGTTCGTCAATTTGTAGACTCTCCCCTCTTGATTCTTCACCACAAAACCAATGGGCTGCTCTACATAGACTTTTTCCTCAAGTGGACCATTCAAAAATGCAGATTTTACATCCATTTGATACATTGATCAATTATTGCTATTTGCAATACCAACAACCAGCCATAGTTTCCAATCTAGCCACCGGCGTAAACACCTCATCATAGTCTATACCTTTTTTTTGCGAAAATCCCTTTGCTACTAGTCGAGCTTTATGCTTGACAATTTCACCTTTTAGATTTGCCTTCACTTTATAGACCCATCTCACACTGATTAACATTTTTTGTTCCGATAAACCGACCAACTCCCAGGTACTATGTTTCTCAATTGATTCCAACTCCTCATTCATCGCACACACCCACTTTGAATTTCTTAATGCCTCCTCCGTGCTCACGGGCTTGGATTCGGCCATAAGCATTAAGTGAAGAAGACCACCTTCATTGTTGATCTCATTATCATGGAATACTTCACAATCTCGGAGCCTTTGAAGTAGACCTCTGCACTTTATTGGACGTCTACTGAATTCACCATTTTCAACTTCGACAGGCTGCTGAACTGTTTCTGCAAAATGCTGATTTTCTGCATTTTTCTGTGGAAACCGGTTTCCAGAAACATGGGAACCAGTTTCTGCTTCATGAATTTCAATTCTAGTACTTCAGGATGCAAAATCTGTGGAGGAAACCGGTTACCCTCATCCAAGAAATCAGTTTCCAGTACTGTCATGGATTTTTTCTTACTGTCAAACAACCTCAACTCGTCCACGACCATATCTAGACTTATCACAATCTTCTTGCTACTCATGTCAAATACCTTATAGCCTCCGGTAGGATGATAACCAACTAGCAACATTATCTCTCCTTTTTCATCCAACTTCTTTCGAAGCTGACCCAAAATATGTCAAAATGCTACCGAACTGAAAACCTTCAAATGACTCAAACTTGGTTTATGAGCAGACCATACCTCTTTTGGTGTCACTTTGTCCAGCTTATTAGTAGGACAACTATTCAACAAATAGGCGGCTGTAGATACGACTTTACCCCATAGTTCCTTCGACAAGCTTTTTCTCTTCAATATGCTACAAACCATATTCATTATTGAACGATTTCTTCTCTTGGAAACACCATTTCGTTGAGGCGGATAAGGTGGCACAACCTCACTCACTATACCCTCAATATCAAAATAATTCCCAAACTCACTCGAGGTATACTCACCCCCACCATCGGTTTTGAGAACTTTCAACTTGTGACCACTTTGCCGCTCCACCATGGATTTAAAATGTTTGAACACATAAAACACCTCAAATTTCCACTTGATTAGATAAATCTGTAGCTTCTTATAAAATCTTCAATAAAAGTGATAAAGTACCTATTTCCATCATACGAGTCGACTTGCAATGGACAACAAACATCAGAGTACACCACCTTAAGATGATGTTTGGTCCTATGACCTACATCCTTGATAAAACTATTCTTGTGTTGCTTCTCTTGAACACACTCTTCACAAATCTCAGCTGGAACATTGATCTTGAGTAACCCGATCACCATAAAATTCCTTTGTAACACGTCGAGTCATTGATTCACCAATTTAATTTTGTGTAAGTTCCAACATTTGGCATCAAGAGTCTTGATTCTGATCCATTAATCCACTGCAAACATATCTACCATTTCAAATGATTGAATCCATATCAACCTTTCAATTATTGATTCCAAGAACTATGACAAATGGTGCAAACAAATGAAAGTTTTGTTTGAGTATCAAGACGTTCTCGAAGTAGTGAACAATGGTATTACACCACTTGGGGCAGAAGCTACAACTGCTCAACAAGCTACATTCAAGGAAGAGAAGAAGAAAGACTACAAGACGCTCTTTTTGATACATTCTTGCATCGATAGTGGCAACTTTGAAAAAGTTAGTGATTGCACGTCGGCGAAGCAAACTTGGGAGATCTTGAATAAAGCTTATGAATGAGCTGATAAAGCAAAGGTTATGAGGTTACAAACTCACAAGAGGCAGTTTGAGCTAGCGCAGATGGAAGAGAAGGAGTCGATCAATGATTACATTACACGTATAACACGTTTGGTGAATCAAATGAAGTCTTGCGATGAAACCGTGTCCGTGCAGAATGTGGTAGCAAAAATCTTGTATAACTAAAACACCCATGAGACCAAAATGTCCCAAAACAACCTAAAAATACGAAACTATCGCGCCAGAAACCGGTTTTTTAAAACAAGGAAACCAATTTCCTCAACTGAAAAGTAAATCCCAAACTGAAACACATGACAAAAACCAGTTTCCTCAAACATGGAAACCAATTTCTTCTTTGAAACTTTCAAATTTCAGTTTTTCTAAAAATACTTTTTCAGATAAACTATTTTGCACGAAATGATCATAGAAGCTTTCAAAATGCGTTTGAATTAATCTAAACTTCCAATGATGAATAAGTATAAATTCTGTGATTTTTTTAATGTGAGGCAATCTTAATTCATATGCATTTTATTATTGTTATAGAATTATGAGGCTAAAAACACTACCAAACTATAATAAATAAAAAACCAAAGTGAAATTTAAGCAATAGCAAAGAGGTGAAAACAAAAAAAGAAAAAGAAAAATAGGTGAGGTGGTGTGGTGAAAGGAAGAGAGATGTGGAAGGGCAATGTAGATTACATAAAGAAAAGAAAATTAGAAAAAGAAAAGAGAAACCGAGTAGAATAATTGATGAAAATTTTCTCTCTAAATATATTAAACACATATCCATTTCATCCAATCCTTTTCTTCTGCTTCGTTAACTGCACAAAGAAAGAAAGATAGAAATCGGTTACAGGCCAAAGAAAAAAAGTAACCGGCGGCGCTCTACCAGCGACCGCTCATCGGATTCCGGCGAACTTCAGATCGTCGCTCTTGCTTTTCCGGTAAGTCGGTGAGTCATTTCCTTCTTCTGTAGTTCTTGGATCTGCGGATTCCGATTTTCTGCTATGAAGCTCCGATTCTTGTTTGTTACCTTAGAAAGTTGATTTTCTTGTTCTCGATTTTGATATCGTTATTTAGGGATAAAATTTGTGGTGATAGTGTTATGGCTCTGACGCTAAATCAGTTCAATTTGACTAGTTTGATTTTTCTGGTTATAATAACTTGAGTTTAATTTTGATGCACTTTAGGTGTAAATTTTGCACTTACAAAATCATGTGATTCTAGGAGTAATTAGGATTGAAATGAGTAAAGATTCTTTGCATCAACACAAGGATTTTGAAAAAGGTTGCTTCGTGGTCGCGTAGCTTTTGCGATTTCGGTCGATACAGGTGCCGCGACACTGGTTGCGGTTGTCGCGGTGTGACTTAACCACAATTTGTTCTTGAATATAAGAAACAGTGATAACCGTATCTGTATTGGCACTTACCGAAACCGTTTTGTTGCAGCTGTTTTCGCGGAATTCCATTGTAGTTAGTATATATACCTAATACAGGTTTCTTGTGATGTTTCTCTATTGAGTTATATGGTATTTGATTATTTATTATTGCTGTTTCTGTGATGTTTTTTGTGCAGAAATATATCCATTGGCTATTTACGGATGCGTTTTGTTGTTGGTTGTTATATTCTTGCTGTGTACTGTATCTTTTTGTTCACTGCTGGAAAATTATTATATATGGGCTGAGGTGGACTTTTCATGGGAGGTGTGGAAGATGAAGAACCAGCTTTAAAAAGAACAAAATTGTCAGCTAAAGGATTTTTTAGTCTTTCTAACTGTTCATCTTCTGTGGAGTGCGTTGTAGGATCTTCCAGTGACTTGATGGCTCGGCCCCTATCAGATGAACGGGGCGATGAAGTTGTTGGTTCAAAAGGGATTATAAAAAGAGAGGAGTTTGTAAGGATAATCACAAAGGCATTATATTCTCTTGGGTACGAAAAGAGTGGGGAAAACCTAGAAGAGGAATCTGGCATTCCTTTGAATTCGTCTGTGGTAAATCTGTTTATGCAGCAGATACATGATGGTGATTGGGAGGAAAGTGTAGCTACATTGAAAAGAATTGGTCTAGAAGATGAAACCATTGTTAGGGATGCCTCATTTTTAATATTGGAGCAGAAATTTTTTGAGCTTCTTGATGGGGATAAGGTCATGGATGCATTGAAGACATTGAGGACTGAGATTGCACAACTCTGTGTTGATAGTACTAGAATTCGCGAACTTTCTTCCAGTATAGTGTCTCCGTATGGCCAAGATGGTTCTTCTAGGCAAGATTATATAAGGGCGAGGACTCGGTTGAAACTGCTGGAAAAACTACAGAAACTGATTCCTCCGACTGTAATGATACCTGAGAAAAGATTGGAACATCTAGTTGAACAAGCCATCATCTTGCAACGAGAAGCTTGCTCATTTCACAATATATTGGATAAGGATATGTCATTATATTCAGATCACCACTGTGGAAAAACTCAGATACCATCTAGAACATTACAGGTTAGAAAATTATATGTTCAAAAGATGTTGAGGTTTATATGGGAATCTTTATATTTGACCTTTCTACTTGTTAACTTCATTGTAACTGTCTGCACTCTTCATTATTGACTTGTTATTGGTAGTGGCAAAATATCAATTTTATTGTTTTCTTTTTGCAAGCTAGAACTGTCTTGTTCCTTTACTTCCTTTCTCCTAAAGGGGTTGTATGATAAGAGGCTATATAGTTTGTCTTTCCTTGTATTAGAGTCAGTAATGTATGTATTGAATAATGGCTAAATTATTCTATGCTGTTTTCTGATAAGCTTACACAGTCAGCATTGTGTTGGGCGAAGGATTCCAAGTAAGTCTATAAAAGCCTTCAAATTGTCTAATGAAATAAAAAGCCAAAACATTTGCACCTTCTATCGCAGTTTAATTTCAGTTTAGTTTGATAAAATGTACTAAATTATTAAATGATGTTTTGAAGTAATACATTTTGTGAATATTTAATGCCGCAACTTGCCAATACCTGTAAATAGTAAAACATCAATATTACTTATCTCTTGTCTTGTTGGTTATCTCCTCTTTTGAAGCCCTCTCCTTATTATGGATATATTGTTTCAGTACTCAACCTTATCCTGTGCGTTTCCGTCCCTTGTTTCCATTTGTACTTATTGACTTCAATATTTGTAAATATAGAGTCTGTTGTTCTAGTTGAAATATTTTCACGTTTATTTTGTGTCACAATCATACACATTATTGCCATGTTTTATTCTACAACTTTAAGCCACTGCTTTGAGCAGAAGGCAACACATCACGTGGGCCAAAACCCATGGATTATCTACATGCGCCTTGGATGCTCAGAACATAGTTTTGATGTGAAAATCATATCCTTTTGTCATTAGAGAAGTTCCATGTGTGGTATTGCCATGCCTAGTTCTGATTGCACAACACAACACTCCCACCCAAATCAGTATTGTTAAATAGCTGCTATATCAGCACTATACCGCCATTGTTCTACTATATGTTATTTAGTACAAAATTTTGTCAAATAGCCGCTATAGCGGCGTTATATCACTAATGCATACCGGAATTTCAACAATATGCTATTTTCAGCTATCCACAAGGCGCAATTGACAACACTGACCCAGATTTAATCACAAGTTTCAGTCCAGCAATGGTGACTGGTCTGAGTCCAATTGAGATCTATTTAACAAGTTTTTTTTTAAAACATAATTAATTAGTAACAACTTTTACCGAGAAAGGAAACAAGAAATAATTATGACTTCATGAGGAAAAGGTCATAAATGTGAAGAAGATCATGAAGAATGATAAAGCCTCAAAAATCAAAATTTGAGTTCCCAAACCAATCCTTAATTCCTTAATGTTGCGAGGAGATGACCATTTATAATTAGGGGTAGGCTAGTAAATGTATTTTCTTTTTGACATCAAATCAAGCAAATTTAATGGACTTAACTATCATTCTCAATAAGTTTGAGTGTACTTTTGCTTATAATTGAGTCTGGAGAGTGTACATAAATAAACAAATATTTCTTGTTTTCTAGCTGGAGAGATGAATCAGTGTGACTCTAATGAGCATTTAAGGATTTTGTAGGACAGGATCCAGACCTATCCAAAGCCAAACTCAATCCTTAACTAAAAGACATTAACAACATATTATCAAAATTGAAAATAATAACTTCTGAATCTCTTTATTATAACATATCAAATTCTTAAAATAAAAATTTGAAGATACATTTGAATCATTAGAAGTATAGAAACGGACTAGAATTTCTGTCGGCTGTTATTTTTCTTCATAGGCAAATGTTAGTAAATGTAGTTATATTAGATTCCAGAGATTGATTCCTAATCTTCTGGTTAGAATTCCTTCAACATCTCATCTTACCAACTGAGGTACCAACTGGAGATGCATGTCTCCTTCCTTGGAATTTTGCATTTGGGTTTATTCTTTCAGATGCTAATTTCGAACCCAAGAATGGGAAAAAAGAAGCAATAGACCACGTAGTTTTCTAGTCAGTTATGCAATTTTTGGTATTCTTTGTTTTGGTTTGCTATCAAGGATGAGTAGCGAGTGACAAGAGTTAGACTAGATAATTCACTTACTGAGGCATGTAAGATTATAGAAGAAAAAGGCATAAGATGATCATAAGATTGTTTGCCCATCAGACTATGACGTGTAAGACAATTCTGGGTGAGTGGAGGATAAGCACTTCAGTTTTTGTTTATAAGAGTAGGTGTGACATGGTTTGACGTATGGTTTTTCATAGTCTCTCTATCTCTAACTATTTGTCTATTCTCCATATGATCAATGCAGAACGGCAGATCTTATTCAGTTTAAACTGTAGTTGTACATTTCTATAGACCAAGATCATTATAATATACTCCCTCCATCCTTAAATATAAGTCCCCATTGTATATTTCACTCTTACTAAAAAATATTTTCAGTGTAATTAACATGTCTATTTATGTATTGTTTTACCTAAGAGAGATGATATGTGGACATCTAAAATATGGACACCGTATGTACACCGTATGAAAATATTCCACCCATCAGCTTGATTCTTTTTGAAGTTTTGTACTTAAAAATAAAGCAAATGATAACAATAAATCACAACCGTAGTCAACTACGGTGTCAGACACCCTTTATGATGTCAAAATAACTTTCCCCTTTACCTAATATATCCTTTTATATTCGTATATCAGTTAATTTTGACTTTTCATATTCTAAGATGCAATATTTAGGGGTTTATTTGGAAAAGATGCAATAAATGTATCTTGTAATTTGAACAAGGGCTTATATTTGTGGACAAATTTTGTCAAATGGGGGTGCTTATATTTAGTGACATAGGGAGTATATTTTTTGACTGTTAGATATGTGCATGGTCTATATGGTATTCTTTGATCGCTATTAAACATTGAACATGTTTAACCATGACAATCATGCATTTCTTTCTATTGGACTAGCAGTATATCTGTTCTGATGCTATTTTCTTATCCATCACATATCTGGCAGATATTAGATGCCCATGGTGATGAAGTCTGGTTTGTACAATTTTCACATGATGGGAAATATTTAGCCACAGCATCAAAAGATCAAACTGCAATCATTTGGGAGGTAATATCTGATGATGAAATATATGCTTCTGTTCTGTTTTAAACATCAGATCCTAAATGCAGAGACCAATTGTAAGTTGTTGTTATTCACGTCATATAACTCAATTTGACATAATACTTGAACTTTTTCTTTCTCAGTTACAAAGGATATCTGCATTTTGTAGCAATAGCATAATCCCTGTCCAACAGAGTCCAATTCTATGTTACCTTTTCTTTACTTTTGCCCAGTTCATGTTTTATTGAAAAATAGTAAAAGAGCGTAACCCTCTTTATGATGTGGCCAGGTTATAAATCATCTCTCACATGCATCATTTATCCAGCAAAATAAAAGTGAGTGAAAGCAAAGAGAAGATAGGAAAAAATTATGTGATTAGGAGAGAAAATAATTGAGAGATAGGTAGAAATGAGATGATGTAGAGGGATGTAGAAAAGTTGTAGGAGAGGATCCAAATTAATGATCTGCTTCTAGGAATTAAGTGTTTTTTTTTGCATGGACATAGAATGTCACTTAATGCTATGATATTGGGTTTCACTCTTTTGGTTTTTTCTGGCCGTACTTCTATAGGTTGCTACAGATGGTGGAGTGTCAGTGAAGCATAGACTATTTGGTCACCAAAAACCTGTTTCATCCGTTTCATGGAGTCCTAATGGGCAGGAGCTTCTCACATGTGGACTGGAGGAAGCTGTTATGCGTTGGGATGTCTTTACGGGTGAGCGCCTGCAAGTTTATGAAAAGAATGGTTCTGGCTTTATCTCTTGTGCATGGTTTCCTTGTGGAAAGTATGTACTTTCTGGTCTCAGCGACAAGAGCATATGCATGTGGACATTAGATGGGATAGAAGTGGAGTCTTGGACAGGACAAAAAACCCTCAGGATTTCTGATTTGGAAATAACTGGTGATGGGGAACATCTTCTTAGTATTTGTAAAGAGAACACAATACTGTTCTTCAATAAAAAAACGAAGCATGAGAGATTTATTGAAGAGGATCAGGTGATAACTTCATTCTCTCTGTCAAAGGATAGTAGATTCTTGTTGGTTAATCTTTTGAACCAAGAAATACATCTTTGGAATATAGAAGGTGATCCTAAGCTTGTGAGCAAATATAAAAGTCACAAACGCTCCCGGTTTATCGTTAGATCTTGCTTTGGTGGGCACGAGCAATCATTTATTGCTAGTGGAAGTGAGGATTCACAGGTATTAATCTAATTGGTAGTCTATAAAAGACACTATGTTTATTTTGCTTGAGGTTGCCTATGTTATAGTTGATTGAAGTGTGGAATACCGAATACCACATCCAGTGTTGTCAGACTAGTCTTAAATTAAGAAATTGCTAATAATGTTTTTGAAAGTGTTAACTGTCGTTGTTTTAGTTAAACATAACCCTTTGAGTATTATTATGAGCTCTAGATATTAGAGGACCGATTTAACATTTCAGAGACCAACTAGAATTTATTCCTTGATTAACTTTCCCCTTATAATTATTTCTGTAAATTCTACTGGGAAGCCATTTTTGAGTTTATTGGATTTACATGTTTGCTAGGTTTACATATGGCACAGAAGCTCAGGTGACTTGGTAGATGCACTGCCTGGTCATTCTGGAGCCATTAACTGTGTGAGCTGGAATCCAGCTAACCCCCACATGTTGGCCTCAGCCAGTGATGACCGCACAGTCCGGATATGGGGCTTAAAACGTCTAGATGTGAAGTACCCAAATGCATACAGCAATGGCAACAACCATCACTGCAATGGTGAGAAACTTAGATGAAAGCAAACTATTTCAATGTTATTTTCTCTTTTATCATTGCAACTGTGTAAATAAACACCTAGTAGACATTCATACCCAACAGTAACACCCATCTGACTTCTTAGCAGTCTCGAAATAACCATGGTTCGTTTAAGTCTTTGCTTCCTCTTTTATTGCCATTGAATTTTAGTTAACTGATTCTTAAGTGATTAGTGCATTTTCTCTGTGTTTGTTATATTAGTTTCACATATTACCGTTTTTTTCAAGAACAAGCAGAATGTGCCAAGTTTGAAAAACCAATATTTCCTTGGTTTGCCAATGCAGTTGTATGAGCATGCGAGTGATAGGCTCTTTAAAATGTCAAAACAATCATGCATTGGCACACTATAGGCTATAGCTTTTCTTTGAATTTTAGATTGGTTCTCTATTCTATCCTGTGATATACTTCAATATTAGTTGGAACTGAACTTATTAAAGAACTTGAAAACTTATCCACTTGATGAAGCAATCACTTTTTCTTTGGAGTAGCAGTTTGGGCGCTTTGAAATGATTCCAACAACCTGTATTTCTGTAGAGCCACAACACTTGTTGGGAACATTTATTCAATCATTTCGTAGTTAACAACTCAGACCAATACTAGCTGATGAAATAAAATGAAGTTTATCATTTATGTTTGGCTTATGAAGTACATGGTCAACGGGGTCATCATTGTCAAATACAACAATTTGTTCAAAAAAAAGTTAAAGGATAGTATCTGATCAGACTGTTGTAAAAAAAAAAAAAACTAAAACTAGCGGATCTTTTGTGAGAAGTTTCCTATCTCTTTGCAAGAGTATTTCAATTTCATAAGTTTGACGAATAGGGTTCATGGTTTCACACATATAGAGATTCTGTCTTTAGGACAGGAAGTACACAAAGGAGAAATTTACCTTTTTAGTAAAAAAAACTATAAAATCTGAAAATTTAAAAATGCTTTTGGGTGAATTTGAAGGTACATTTTCAAACGTATGAAATATCATTATTTTGCAATTTTTTTTCCAGAGAAACATCTTCCAGTTCACTAAAAGGTAAATTTGAAACATTTTTATTTAGAATTTTTTTTAACTCATTGATATTTTTGGAGATGTGTCCAACGAGAACCGTAATGATCCAACTTCTACGTGTCTAGAATTACATAATTATAATTAAGTCATTAACATAGGTGCGAAACATACATAATAGTCTCAAAATACATTAGTACATAAGTTTTACTCCATTCATTAGTCATTTTCCATATCAACAGATTTAGTCAATTGGTGTATTAATTAAATTCACTATTTTTTTAAATATATTTATATGCATCATACAACTCATATTATTTTATAGTTGAATAGTCCTTTTAACTAGTTTTCCAACGCTTCTGACAGTGTCTTATTTCGAGTTACGACGCTCGAGTTACGTTATTTTCAATTTTACATTTTCACACACAATCAGTAGTAATCGGTTACGTTCAGTGTGTAATCGGTTATAGACACGAAAAATAGCTCAGAAACTCATTTTTTTCACATGTAACCAGTTACAACTACTAATAATCGGCTACCACTGAATCCGGAGTTCAAAATCCATTTGTTTATCGCTTTTTCTTCAATCTAAACATATTGCTAGCAATATACTAACATGTCATAGCATCACAAGCATAAATTCAACATCAACACATGAAAACAATCATGATAAAACATAAATTTAACATGTAAGGAAGAAATCAACATGAAACACTCAAAACCCTACATCCCACATGCATCAAGGTTCCCAAAAACAGATTGTATCCCTCTATCTAAATAGAATCCCACCTTAAAGAACCTAGATTTCAAAAATTGGAGATGAAATGGTGTTGATTAGAGCCTTCTTGTTGTCCAATTCTTCAAGTTGCATGCAAGGTTTCTCTTTTCCCCTTTTTCTTCCACGCTCTGTTTTAAGGAAGGAAAAATGAGAGAGTGAGAGTGAGGTTTCAGATTGCTCCACTTGCTGCACACTCTCTCTGAGGAATTGGCCAAAATTCCCTCTCTTAAGACTTTCCTTCCCCAAATTACCCTTGGTCGTGCCAATTACTTATATCAGGCCATAGCCTTAATCGATTTAATTAATTTTAATTACTAAGTAAAGTTTCTTAGGAAATTTAGACATTAAGTAATTTAAATTAATTTGGGGTATTACTTGAACGTTAAATTTAAATTCATCCTCGAGTTATCATACTTGAAAAGATGTGGGTAGTTTTCTCGCATCTCAGACTCTAACTCCTACTTAGATTCGTTGGGGTGTGATTCTTCCCACAATACCTTCACCAAAGGTATTTCCTTCTTTCTTAAGGCCTTAACTACATAGTCCACAATGCGGCTAGGTTGAGGCTGAAAAGTAAGGTCTGCCTCCACTTTAATCGAATCAAGAAGGATAGGTCGAATAAGATCTGATACAAACTTTCTCAACTGAGATATATGAAATACATCATGAAGACCAGACATGGATGGTGGAAATGCTAACTGATAATCCTCTTCACCCACTTGACTTAGGATCTGGTAGGGGCCAACATATCTCGGGCTCAATTTATTTACCTTGAAGGGTCATTTCAATATGAGCCTCAGAGTAACCTTCAGAAATACATGGTCTCCCTCCTCGAATTCTAGAGGTCTCCTCCTCCGATCTGCATAACTCTTTGGTCAGTCTTGAGCCTGTTTCATTTTCTTATGAATCACACGAATCTTATCAGTGGTTTCTTGGATTATCTTAGGTCCAAGAATACTCTTTTCTCCAACTTCATCCCAATATAAAGGTGTCCTACATTTCCTTCCATACAAAGCTTTAAAAGGAGCCATGCCAATACTAGAGTGGTAACTATTGTTATAAGCGAACTCTATTAATGATAAGTGATCTTTCCAATTACCTCCACTTTCCAAAATACAAGTTCACAATATATCTTCTACGGTTTAGATGGTCCTTTATGTCTGTCCATCAAACTGAGGGTGATTCGAAGCACTAAGATTTATTTTATTTCCCATTGCACGATGAAAAGTATTCCAAAATTAAGATGTAAACTTTGGGTATCTATCGGATTCAATGCTAGCAGGCGCACCATGTAACCTACCAATCTCCGTAATGAAGAGTATTGCCAAATTAATCACCATGTATGAAGTCTTAACGGGTAGGAAGTAGGCTGATTTGGTTAACCTGTCTACGATTACCTAAATTGCATCATGTCCTCCAAGAGTACGGGGTAAATCCACTATGAAATCCATGGATACGCTTTCCCATTTCCACTCGGGTACTTACAAAGGTTGCAATAACCCTCCAGATCTTTGGTGCTCAACTTTTACCTGTTGATAAACAACACATCTGGCTACAAACTCGACAATATCCCATTTTATCCCGGACCACTAGAACTTTCTCTTCAAGTCTAGGATGTATAATGAAATGGCTCTTATGAGCTTCTTCTAAGATCCTCCTTCTCAAGTCAAGGTCTTCAGGTACACACATCCTTCCATTGAATAAGAGAATCCCATCTGTGGATTGGGTGCAACCGGGTTGTGCATCCTTTGCTTGCAACCATGTATCACCAATTTGAGTTAGCCTTAATATCTCCCTCAAGTCACACTTGGAATCCAAATTACTGAGTAAAACTCCCGCGGGTGTCCATGTATATTGGATATCAATTTTTTTGAATTTCTCTAAAAGATTATGCTCTAGCATAATCAATTATGCAATATGTATTTCCTTTTTACTCAAGGCATTCACCACTCTATTGGCTTTTCCTGGGTGGTACCTTAGGTCAAAATCATAATCCTTTAGGAACTCCGTCCACCTACATTGCCTCATGTTCAACTCCTTCTGGTCAAACAAGTATTTCAAGCTCTTATTGAAGGTATCAGAAACACAAGAAATTGGGGTTTTGTTATACCCCAATTTTTGCCCCTAAGATTTCTCATCATCTCACTTTTATCAGTACATCAAAATCATACATTAGGGTTGGTTCTCTCTTTAAGTTTGCTCTTGAGGTATCACCAAGCATCTCGAAATGTGTATCTTGTACATTTGTTCTATTAACTAACATCAATATGTGTATATATGTTTCTTTGAATGTTCATATTGTAGGTGATCACAATTACATTCATCTCACCATCTAACCTAGGGTTTTGAGGGGTGGTTCTTAGTCAAATGATGCTTCAATGGATTATAAGAGCTCAATCTTCAAGGTCATGTCTATGACATCAAAGGTTTGTGGTTCAAGGAGCTCTCTCACTTTATTTAGGTCAAGACCTCCTCAAAGTTGGTGGTGGCATTCATCAAGAAGATTCATAGATTCAGGTGTTTATTTCCATGCCTTATTTAACAAGCTTCATTGAGACTTAAGCTCCATATTTTAGTGTGATTCAAGACAAAATCATTTCAAGGCTTCTTATGATCCATCATGCTTTATTTTTCCAACAAAGTTCAAAGAGATTCAAGGTTGGCTCAACAAGTTTGACCTAATTGAGAAAATGCTTGACTCAGTGATCACAAGTGCATAACTCTCTAAATTTTCAACATTTGGAGTTGGTTATTTTTGCTATGGATTCTTATCATCATCAACAACAACCTCTCTTCACACGACAAGATCCAATTGTGCAAGAAAAATCATCAAAAGTCTAAAGGGGTTTCAAGTCATTTTGATACTCTCTGAGATATGGTTTGTTGACTTATAAGGACCATATCTTGCTCATTGTTTGATATTTTTGATTGGTTACAAAGTCATGATTCTCTTTAAAGGGTCCTTAACAAGCTCTCTTCAGAGATCTAAAGCTAATTTTAAATGGAAGATCACTAATGATTGAGAAAGATTACAAGTCTCCTTGAAAGGCCTTTGAATTTTAGGGTTTGACTTCAAATGATCATAACTTGTTCAATTTTTATCTCCTTGAGCCCATTCATTTTCCATAATAATATTTGGTATGTATACTACAACTTTGTTTTTATGTGCAAGACTTTAAGATGCTTGGAAAGTGGTTGAAGAA